CACGATATTCATAGCTCATGTATACCAAAATTATACGCATCATTTCAACTAAAAAGTGACTGATCAGTTCGTTCTATTTCCTCGTTAGTTCTACCGAGAACATTTAAATAAGTGTCAAGTTATTGAATGGTATATTTACATAAACAAAAAAAAATACCCTGAGATATACAGCAATGAAAAACAATTTAAAGACTTAATTCTTTTAATCATTCATGTGGGTGGAATAATAAAAGACGTCGTGGTATTATATTTTGATTGAACGACTTTAAAAGCATTAACCAATTTTTGTGTAAGTCCATTACAGACGCGATGATGGCATTGTAAATGACTTTTTAATCGTTCAAGTCGAACTGACTTATGTGAATACGGTATGTTTTTTAAATATGTTAGACGATATTGTGGTAATTTAAGTGGTCCGTTTATAAAAGGACATGGAACTTCCAAAAGATAATCAATTATACTTTCATTTTCATTAAACAATTTTGTTGTTCTTGGATCAAGATTATCAGCAACAGCTTATGTCAAACGTTGAGCACAAACTTTTTTTAATTTATGTTTTCTGATGAAATGATTACAAAGTAAGACTCGACAATCTTTTTCCTATTCACATAATTCAATTGAATGATTTGATTCAGTAAGACCATATGCTCCATCAAATAATAATGGACATTCATCCACAATTGCATTGTATGGTATTCGTTTACTTTTCTTTTGTTCTTCATTTACATGTTTATCCTGAAAAGAAAAGCATAATGATTGTTTAAATATCTTGCAACATTTATTTTATAGAAAGTAGACATAATATCTTTAAAGTGTTTAAAGCGGATATATCCATGAGAACTGTGTTCGTATAGTATTTCACTGAAAATGAATTTTTTTTGTACTTAAAGTATAGAACTTAACTAGGAAGCAAATATATTTCCATTTAGAAATTCCTCTGATTAATGCGTGCAATCTATTTTCTACAAAACATTGTTCTTTTAGAATTTCATTTATTCTAAGAATTCATTTACTTCTGCATAAACTGTATTTTCATAGTCAAAAACTAATTATTTTTATCATATTCTCGAAGAAAATGAGTCGTTTTTCAAAATATTTTCTTGTCAATATCAAAACTTAGACAAATGAGAAAAATAACTATGAAAAAAGATAGATGTTGGCACTAATCTCATGCTTCTGTATTGGTACAGAAAAACGAAAAACTATTCAATCACATCCAAATTCAATCTATTAACTTCAATCTTTTCAAGTCTTGATTTTTTTATTTACACAGAATGTTCGAAACATCCGGTGTGGGGTGTGGGTGTGGATGTGGGTGTGAGGGTAGAAAGGAAAAATCCAACACTCCACCCCCACCCCCACACCCTTGATTGTGTTTCTCTAAGAAAATTCTTCTTCCCAGCAATTATCTTCGTTTTTTTCATATGTATTAAAAGTGAAATAAAGACTTTTTCTCATTCTCGACAGGGAGTGACACGAGGTAAAACCATGAAAAAGTTGTTCTGTGGTTTTCAACCTTTTTTTATTCATAGTATCCCACCTGTTTGCAATAAAAAAAATGAAAAAAAAATGACACGATGCAATAATTTTTTTTCCGTTTTCTTTTAAAGAAATAGAGAACATGACGTTGTGCTTATTGGTTTTTTCCAACTTTTTTTTTGCACACTTATGACATAAATAAGAATATTTTCTGTCAAAAGCAAAGAGGCGGTTCTCAAAGAGGTTAAGTTTTGGCCATGTAAGTACTGTTGACTTTCTTAGTGAGCATTTTATCTGAGTATTTTAGAAATTTCAGATTACAGATGTGTAGAGCTCAAAGTTTCACATAGAATAATGTAGTTTTTTATTCGTTAAATACCGGGTTGCCAGATCATCTGAATTTTCTAAGTTTTCCGACTATTCTCCCACTTTCCCACTTTCCGAATTTTGCCGAATCGCAGTTTTTTTTTTAATTTTCTTTTTGCATTACAATTTTCGACAGAACTTTTGATAGATTTCATATTGCACCATCTTTTCTTTTCTGTAATCGTTAGATAATTGATTTTATTCTGACAGACAAGAAGAGAAGGAAGAGAAGATGCAATATGGTAAGCATTTTTTCAAATTTCATCTAAGATTTGTCAAAATAGCTTCAATCATTGTTTGGTTTTCGAATAAGTCATATGAAGGAATAGCATCTCTAGAAAGTGTAGTCGAAATGAAAATAAGGGTATTGTTTTACTTTTTAATGGTTATATTTTAGAACAATTGTTAAATAATAGTGCAAGAGTAAAAGAATATATTCAATCTGATCAGCTTACGTTCATATTTTTTAAATATTAAACGAAAAATAGCATCGAGTTTGAAACTAATTGTTGCCTATACATTTTCTGTTTCATGTAGCAGTTCTTTTGTTGAATCAATACTCAGTCAGATGAGTCACTACTTATGGTCTGATTATCGAAATTGAATAGATATCGAATTTATCGAATCTGAGCTATAAATCAGAAAGAATTCCTATATTCCTTGTGCACATGTTCATGACTTTCTTTTAAATCAAAAAGGACTATTAGAAAAAATAGTTTCAAATGAAAAATTTGTTCGAAAAACGTCTTGATAAGTGAACTTTAGTTTTTATTTTCAATAAATGTTTTGAATTGTAGGTATTCATACGTGTATAGATAGTTTATTTCGAGTTTTTCTTGAAAATGATATTCTCTAATAGTGCTATGTTTAACATATTTGTTTTAATATTGATGAAATATATCTACAAAGAGGATAACCAAATTCAGAAAGCTTTTTTTTACAAAAAATATCAACTAAAGCGTCAAAAAGTTTAAAAACTACTACTTTCTGAATGTTTTCAGAAATTTTCCGAACTCAGGCAAATGAATTCCGATTTGTAAGACTATGATCTGGCAATCCTGATTGAATGTGATCTCTGAATGCTTCGCACTATTCTATAATTATTAAAGAGCTAAAGTAAAAAATATCAGTTCTCTTTCGAAAGGCGATGCTCATAGCTGTCCTAGTATTTCGCAAATAATTAATAAGAAATAAAAGTATATCCTCTTATAAAGAACTTCAAATCTCCCGTCAGTTAGTCCGACGTAGATATAAGAATTTAGACGTCGGATGGCTCGATGAAGAGGAGATTCTTCTTCGGAAATAGCCTAAGAATTAGACACTATCTTTATTTTATTTCGAGAAAGTGAGTTGTTGTAAAGTAATGGGATATCTCTGCAAGATAAAATAATATGAGTTTGAACATTGGCAACATCATACTGATGTTGTGTTCGAACATTTAAAACCAATAATGTCAAATCAGTATCGTGGATTTATGAAGATAAAGCAGATTAATAGCAGGTAATTTTGAAAAATTGTATTTTATTTTTAGCTAAAATTTGTTTGTAAAATAAAAGTTTAGTCGGTATTTGCACTGAAAAAATTTTCGTAGATTTTTTATTGTTCATTTTTACGACATGACATAATTCGCACATTGCTTTGCTTTTTCTTAAGGTCTGTACATTTTGCTTGAATTTATCTGATAATCTCAAGGTTATGCGCCCTGCTTTACTAGAAAAGTAAAGGTAATTTATCACAAATTGTTGAAGCTGATGAAAGGAAGAATTATTTCCACGTTTTCAGCTACTCATGCTAAAAAAATTTAAATATCTTCTGTTTTGGACAGAAATAATTACACTTAAAGTCTTTTCTCTCCTATTAATATTACTCATTTCTTATCGCTACTTAACTAGGCAACTTTCAAGGAGAAATACTTCTTAGTAATAATCATGGTGTAAGGACTTTGAATAACTCCCTTAGAGTCGTTCTTCATTATTTCTTCTTTGCTTACTTTTGACAATATACTGTACATGAATATCGAGTAGTGCCTTGGAACAGAACAACTATTCTGCATTGTCATTAAAAACAAATATCTGGTTCTCTTTTCAGAAATGCTTTCAAAGTTCCAATTACAATTTCAGATGTATTGACACAGTCAAATATAGTACAAAAAGAGAAACCCTATACTCATAAATTGGGATACTCGAAGCTTTTTTTATATATTTATTGGTTTCACGCATATGTTTATCTGTCACTTGACATGGTAGGCAACTTTATATGAATTTGAATTTAAGAAAAAGTACAGCGGAGTTGATGCAGAGTAGTAATCTGAATACCAATATCAGCTTTACTTATAAATTTGGATGCGAATCTTAATGTACATTTACATATTAAGTCTACATCCAACTTAAACGGTCGCTCCATAATCAGCATTGTATATGTAAGAAGTTTGCCTTTATAGAAAATGTGATTCTCTTTCGATGAAAAATATGAAACTAATTTGTCACAAGACTCTGAGTGAGAATCATCTACGATGAGTTGACATTTTATTGTTCTCGATAAAACATAAATAGCCCTATAAAGAAGAGTGAAATGTAAAAGGCAGATTGAAAACTTATCTTCACTTTTTCAATTGATTTACAATCACGATATTTATAAGTATAAATCGCAAGGAAATATTTCATCAGTTACAACTGCGTTTTAATTAAAGTTAGCCGCATATGTGAAATAGATAAGAGGGAAAAGTTTATTGCGTGATTCCAGAATCTGTATCGATATCATCATCTCTATTGACTATTTGTCACCCCATTGAGTGCTTTTCTCATCAAGGTTTCTCCTAATCAGGCGTTCGCACAGCCAACGTGTGAAGTATTACAACAAAGATCTTCTCAATATCGGGATTGCAACTCGAAAGTTCACACTCTGATTTTCTCTTGAATATTATTAAACACTAGAACTATATCTTAAAGAGAAATCAGATCAAATTTAATTAGTATAGATTAAAGTGAAATTTTTATAGTTCATTCGAAATAATCAAACAGTCACATAACAATACACTAATACTTTTCTTTTGTACTTTCGGATCGTTCATATATGCATTAACAGAATTGTGCGATTTGAATTTGTACGAGTAATCACAATTGATTTTCTTTCTTTTTCAACAGATGATCCATACTATGGAAGCTTCCAAAACTCTCCACCAAATAATTCATTTATCTACCCAATCAGAAATAATATCTGTTCTTGAAAAAAATCTCTTCGAGACTCGGTTCAATGATGCCATTTTAAGTGGTTCACGAGCAGCTCGTTATTATTTACCAAATTTCCGAGAAACATTCAATACAAAAAATATCGATTGGGATATAATTTGTTCTTCAAAGTATTTATTAAATTGGTTACGTGAGAAAGGCAATAAAGTTCAAAGCATCGAAATGATGATTCCGACAACTGATGGCGAGTTTGATTTCGATTTATATATATATTGTACTCTATCCAATGGATCTAAATATGACTTTATTAACCCACGTACCACAGCATCGTATACTGCATATATTTTAGATAATTTCGATAAATGGACGACAAAAAGAGTTCAATACTGTCGATGGGAACCTAATTTTCACTCGTTCGAGATAGCGTCAGTGAAATTATTATTCATTTTTAAAAAATACATGCTTTACTATACACATCAGTGGAGAAAAACAGCAAAAGATTATAGAGAATTGCTTACAATTGCAGATCCACTTACCGATGATGACATCATTTTGTGCGATTTATTCAATCAATATAATGAGAAACTGTTTGGAAGATGCTCATCCAATATGGATGAATTCGTTATTGTTCAAGAGAAGGATTCCCATAATATAGTTATTAATCGAGATGATTTCTTGACACAAGATAAAAATGAGCGAACCTCACGTTTGTACCAAATTGCTTTATCAATATCCTTTGATAATGACATTCTTATTGGATTAGAACAACTTTGTACAAAAAGTCCATTATGGCTATCAGATTATGTTATTAATAATTGGATTGCTATTCAAAATGAAAAAATAAAACAAAGACCACTGCAATTACCATATCCTTGTATCGAAGTTCAAGTTGACAATTATTGCTTGTTTGAAAAAATACCAGAAATTCCTACTCGACAAATTCTTAAATGTATCACTCGAGCAGTTGATTTTTACAACATGCAATTCGTATGTAAACGATGGTATAAAATACTACATCAAGAATCCTTCTGGCGAGACTTGCATATATCACATTATGGAGATTGTTTGAGAAATACTGATAATTCTACCAAATGGAAACGACTGTATTTTGATAAACTCAATGGAGAGAACATGGAACGTAAAAATAAACATGGATACTTCGTAGATGCAACAATTAAATTGAGACAATGTACAGCAAATGATGTTCTGAAATTATGGGAAGATTTGACTCATCAAGAACAATCTGTAGATCCGGCGATTATGTCTAATATTGATTTTATTCTTGCAAATTCTATTTATACTAATTTGACGCACAAATCGGATCATTACTCAGCGAAACTTATTGTTGTTGGACTTGAGGACTTTCATTCATCGCCAACCAGTGTTTTATCTAAGTTTCATTTCTCGAATGCGCGGCGTACATCATATCCGCCTTCTAAACCAATGGCTTCTTTAAATTTTCCGGTTGACGAATCAGAACGTCAGGTGGACGATGCTCACCCGGCCCATACAGTAGATAAAAAACTGAGGACGACAGTTCATTTGGAGTTAGAGATGGGAGAATATGGAAAAATTTCTCGCTTTTCTGATTATATGGAAATTTTGTCTGTGACTTGTCACTGTACTGATGGCGGTGTGCATTCGTTGAAATTTAGTGGTCAAGAATTGTTTGGTTTTTACATGTATAGTCGAGAGTATGGTCATGTCAAGGGTACGAAACTTGGGTCAAATACATGTTCTATATTTCCAGCATATCCATCTGGGCTTCTTGTTTGCTTGTTTGCCGTAATGACTCATCCAAGTCATCGGGAAGAATTCATAAAATATTTGAAAAATCTTGAAAACCACTGTTTGCCATATGTTTCATATGAGGAATACTATTAAAGTTCAAAGCATTAACCGAAAGTATTAAGACAGGCTGAGTTTTAATATAAGAACAATCTAATGATAGGCGTCTGAATTTAGAGCTGCGCTTTTGGGTGTTGAGATGTGAGTGGAGTGTAGGAGGAGGGGGGGGGGTAGGGAGATAGAAGAAGAAGGTCATTTTCTATTTAATACACATCAATGATGAAATCGGTTTGGTTCGATACTTCTAAAACTGCTGCTTTTAGCCTTCTATCAAAAAGGTTTTTTCTTGTAAAATGAAAAATAAAAATGAAACAAATAAATCTCGATAATAATTTTCAAGGTATCATTACTCAAAAATCATATATTTACAACAGCAGTTGCATATTCTGCAAGGATGAGATACATAGATTTGATATGCAAATAAAACATCAATTTAAAAGTGAAGCAAGTACTCTGATAAATATTTTGGATTTTTCTTAAAATATTTAAGACATTCGAATTTTTAGATAATGTAGTGAAAATAGGATAATTGATCGACGACTTTGCTATAGAATTTCAAATTTCAAATAACCTTGTGATCTCTTGAAAGAAACCCTTAGAGAAGTCATTGAAATTTTAATGGATTTTACTCTAATGAAAAGAAAGAATAGCACATGTCTTAACTACTGCTGCATTTACTTTATTGTTGATTAATAATGAAATATTGAAGAGGTAGGGTTACCACTTTCTTCGGTGAGCAATATTCACTAGACTGCTCTGCTACTCTAATTATATCTCTTTCCCACAAAATATAGCTTTATAAACGAGAAAAGAACGGGTGTGGGTGTGGGTGTGGGTGTGGGTGTGGGTGTGAGTGTGGGTGTGGGTGTGGGTGTGGGTGTGGGTGTGGGTGTGGGTGTGGGTGTGGGTGTGGGTGCGGGTGTGAGTGTGGGTGTGG